CATATGTAACCTTGCTTTTAGGTTTTAAAATATATAGTTTTCTTTGAATCGAATTTTATTATTCCAAAATTATGTCTTGAAGTATGTTAAATTTTAACGTATGTGTATTTTAATCTTTTTTTGGAATCACTTGATGGTCGTATGCCCCCAATTATACAATTTTCACACAACTGCGCCTGGAGTGTCATTTTTGACAGACATGGCGCATTATAAATGTTCACTATTATTATTATTATCATCTATCCTAAGCTATCTATCTGAGTGTTTCTTTCCATATACTGTCTCCCCAATCTCTCTCTCTCGCTTCCTTCTCTCTCTCTCTCTCTCTCTCCCTCTCTCTTCCCCTTCCTTTCCTTTCTCCCTTCCCCTCCTCTCTCCTCCTGTCCCCCTCTCTCACACACTGACACAAAACAAAATTGGGTTAGCATCACCAACCCCTTTAGATTAACCTGCCCCTCCTCTCTCATCCTGCCCCCTCTCTCACACATCACCGGCCTGCCACTCAGACCCATCAGTCTCTCACCCCTTTTGTTCTACCAGGTACTACCAAACAACATGGGTGCAACATGGGCACCCTATATCCCCGCGGGGAGGGCTCATAGGGGTGCACCTTAATTGGTTTGGGTTCAATTAAGGGGGTGCACTAATGAGGATGACGGATAAAGATGGGATTAGGATGTCAAAGGAGGATGTATTTTTATTATTGTTGTTTCTTATTGTTGTTGTTGGGGTGCGCGCTCGGCTTTGAGCATGGACTAAGAGAGAGAGAGAGAGAGGGGGGAGAAAAGAAGAAGAAGAAGAAGAAGAAGAAGAGAGAGAGAGAGAGCAAGAAAGAGAGAGAGAGAGAGATTTCCATGGTCTATAAAAAGAAGACTTACATTTACAGTTATCTTTGCTTTCTCTTTAAGTAGATTATCTTATTCTTCTTCTTCTATTTTTGTTCTTTCTTGATCGCTTCATTATATTTCACTCTCTATATTTAATGCTATGAACATGTAATCCCTTTCATATCTCCTGTTCATGTTCTGCGTATTTGCATTTGTTATCTCTCTCCTCTCTCCCTCTGTTTATCATCTCCCCCCTCTCTCTCTCTCTCTCTCTCTCTTTCTTTTTCTTCCCTTCTCTAAAATAGTTCACTTCTCTTCTTTTTGTTTGTCTGTTCTCTTCTTTTCATCACTTTATCTCCACCAAACTGTCGATTTTGATGCAAATTATTCTTTGGATATAGACCTTAATGCATTCCTTTCCTCTGCTCTTTCTTTGTTTCTCTCTCTCTCCCTCTCTCTCTCTCTCTCTCTCTCTCGTTCTCTCTCTCTCTCTCTATCTATCTCTTCACCATAAGTATCGTTTAGTCAGGAATTTCTCCACGATCCATGTAAACTCAAATTTTATGTTCAATAACTGAATGCGATTATGTAGCACAAACAGGTCTTATAATTCAATACCAATAGGTCATTTATTTTTAACAGTACTGTATACTTCATAAATGTGTGCAACTTTTCCCCTGTGAATATAAACGATGATAATAATAACTTGAAACATATCAATAATAATAATAATAACGATAAGTATATTCTTATGATTATAGAGCATGATACCAAACTAGGTTTCTATAAACGCGCTATACATACACAGTAAAAACGCTGTTTAAAAAAGTGATGTTCACTTACAGTTGTACACTATCTTAAACAACAGTTGAACAAATTGTAAACAATGTTGCTCGAAACGAAAGTAATTTTGTTAAACATTCGTTGTTTAAAATTTAATGACTGCTATATTTACTATACGAGAGCTTTTAGACAGTGTTGTTTACATATGACGTCAAGTGTCTCGTGCCAGTAAAGTGCGCGCTGGCTAAAAGCTTTATTTCACATTGTTATGTTTAGAAACAGGTTCCTTGAAACTAACATGCAATTGAAATTAACATGCCACTTAGAAATGCAGTGCAGCTGTTCAGGCACAGCTCATTGTTATTCATATTAGATGCATACACACAATGCAAGTATATGCAAGGGTCTTCTGTTGACTACACAGATTGATACATATGTAAAAGCACATGGACACTGAGTCTGGATTAAACTACCAAAGCAACCACACGTGTTTCTGCTGGCTCCATTTTGTTTGTCTCTATACTTACATTTATTTATCTTAATAGTTTTTACTTTCCAACCCACAACACAACACACATCATGGCCGACCAAGCTACCGACGCGCTTCTAAGTGACTGGGGATTCAATGGCTTAATTGAAATCACTTTTCTATTAACCAATTTAAAGTTTTTAACTTATAGCGTAAGTTCACAGTAACAATTTTTCAGTATCTGTACGCAAATGTCAGAATATAGGTAGACTTAAAATCGTCGCGTCATGCAGTGCGGCACTGATCGCGCACTCGGTTATAACGTGTGCTAAATTCCTTGCCAAAGAGATTGCATGCATCCCTATATATGCAGTTTATACGTGCGTGCATGCGCGCTCATGCAAAATGGGCACTGTTTTGGCGCTAATTCATGAATTGCAGAATTACCCTACCGTATTGTTAGTCTTCATATACCTATATAGAGACCCAGAAGTAGCGGTGCACTTATTCAGAGTATCAAACCCAAATTATACCCCATTATAGAATCCTTTTGTTGTAAACAACCCCCTCTGAACAAGAGCTCCTTTTTAAACAACTTTCTTTAAACAACCCAGTTGGTGTAAACAACCCCCACTGAACAACAGCTCCTTTTTAAACAACTTTCTTTAAACAACCCAGTTGGTGTAAACAATCCCCACTGAACAACAGCTCCTTTTTAAACAACTTTCTTTAAACAACCCAGTTGGTGTAAACAACCTCCACTGAACAACAGCTCCTTTTTAAACAACTTTCTTTAAACAACCCAGTTGGTGTAAACAACCCCCACTGAACAACAGCTCCGTTTTAAACAACCGTCTTTAAACAACACCGGTTGTTTAAATTGTGATTTTAAACAAGTTGATCAAAATGTTGATCAACTAAGTGTTTAAACTTTAAACAACTCGAGTTGCTTAACATTTTAAACAACTCTTAGATCAGGTCACCCGTTAATCAAGAGTTGTTTAAACTTTTAAACAACTTGTTCACAAAAAATTTAACTGTGTAGTAAGGTAGAATAATATTTTAAGATATAACATCAATAGCATAATAACTGAGCGCAATCAACGTAGTTTTGTTAAAGATTTCGGAGTAGTACCATATATTTTATAAATGTGGGCTAATTTGTTTTCCTGTGAACATAATATACAAATAATACACATCAGTCAGGGCATCAGTAAGAATTGCCCACACGAGGTACCTTTGGAACAGTCTAGCACACCCGAGGCGATAGCCGAGGGCGTTTGGACTGTTTTGAAGGTTCCAAGTGTGGGTAATTTTACTAATGCCCGAACATGATGATGTGTAATATTTGTTTTATAAGATTATGTTTTATTTGTTTTATGAATTTATTATTTTTCTAACATGATTTTGATAATGACCCGTCATTACCATCGGATAATGACATGTCATTAGCCAAGTTACGCGCGATTACGCGTTAGGCAAAATAAATGCCTGGTCACGTGTACAATTTCAACCAATCATTTTATTAGGATCCACGTCGTCATCTTACAAATGATAATATTAATAACATATATAAGGGTAACAATAGCATAATGAAGCGCAATCCATATACTGTTGTCAGCAATTCGGAATACTGTAGGGAATTTTGCCAGCAGTTAGTAACCGTGTCCTTTGGCAAGATATTAACCTACATTTGCCCCACTCAACCCAGGTGATGTAAATGGGTACATGACAGAAATGAGTTCCTTGAAATGGTAGAGCGCCGTAATGGCAAGCCATTCTAGAGCCGGGGTAATGATCGGGAGCGCCAGGGGCGTCAAGTCTGACAGATATGAGCGCTATCCAAGAACTCACTATTATTTTGTTATTAAAAGAAAAAGAAATGAATGAATTCTGTAGTTTCAACATATTTAGATAAATAATAACTTGTTCCTTCTAAAGCGAGCAGCTCCCGCCAATACTGTTGTATATCATTGGTTGTATTAGAAAGACGCTTAGCAACGACATACGAATTGAAAAACAATGTAGATATCGACTATGTTGGCCAAATTCTATTTTCAAAACACTTCTTATGGTGAGGGCGCTATAAGATAGAGATATGTTTAATACAGAACATTTTAAATCATCCAATCATTGAAAATTTGACTATCGGTTTATCATTGAATGATAAATACACTGCTCTAGAAAATATTAAAAAACAAAGTTAGTACTAAGCAGTGTTTTCAACATGTTATGATATGTTTATAGATATTATCATTTATAATATATAAATAAACTTCTCATAATCTCGTATCCTCCCATCTTAGTAAAATGAATAATAGAAAAAGAATACAATCTGTTACGAGCCGCCCACCCCCCCCCCCCCCAACAAAACAAAAGTAACAGAAATAAGTAAAATAATAAATACTGCAGTTGTCAAGTTTACAAGTATATAACCTCTTTTCGCGTCAATCATAACAGTGGTTTAAATAACACTCTTTAAATAACTTGTAAATCAGCATGATAAATAAATTAGTGCTCGGATACATTGCTTTTCCAACTCCCTGCTATAACATTATGTATCTATATAAATTATTGTGCTCTGATTGTATATCTTACATTATGACATATGTTAACAGTGTTTTAACCGCTGACGAATCCATCTTGGCAAAAATCATTATGCTCGAGCTATGAAAATTTATTCTTGTTTCACACGAAAAAAAAGCCATATAATATTATTATTTTTATCTACATCAGGCTGACTATTAGCGAAATAACACGATTTGACTTACCTAATATGGCTTTGTTTACGTGTAATATCCATATCAATAGTTGAAGTTCCCGGATGACTGAGCAATACGAAAACAATATTGATCAGTCATCCGGGTACTGCGCTAAAGATATCAGATACACTGATTTATTGTACCACCTGGAAGCCTTAAATAGATAATAATATTGAATACTGCTTTGTAAGAAATAAGAAATACAATAAAGTAGTTGTCTATAGATGGCGCTATATCTATTTCAGGATCCCGGCGAATATTTCACAGGGCTTTGTGTCTGTTGGGTTCCTGGGTTGGACTGAGTACGAGCACGTCTTCTTATCCCACACGGCCTCGCATTGGTCTTCATCAAAGATCATCGGTAGCCAGTAACTAATGAGAGAGAGAGAGAGAGAGAGAGAGAGAGAGAGAGAGAGAGAGAGGGAAAGAGAGAGAGAGAGAGAGAGAGGGGGGAGGGGGAGGTGATGATTTTTTTTTTTAATTATGTTTTGTTTTTTATAAATAGAAACCTTTTTTTTTTTAAATGAAATGTTACTTATTATATTCCTTTTTACTGTAGGAACCCTCTAACATGCAACAAATCCTGAATTGTGCAACACCCTGGCTCGAACAGCTAATTCTCCCAACCAACTTTTTGTTTTTCCCAACCGTTTGCCATGAAGATAAGAAATAAAACACGCTTTGAATAATCTTTCGATAATTCAATGCAATGACTTACATTCACTTAAAATATAATTGAATTATAATTATATAGATGGGAGAATTTAGGAATCGATCAGATCAGTTTTCCCGAATTTGTATCATTAATAATAATCTTTTTTTCACTCAAACTTTCAGATTATCTTTAATTGTACATCTATCATTGAAGTCACTACCTTAGCACCATTTTCTCTCATCTGAACAATGTTACCAAGTCCCTTTAAGGAAAATAAAAAGTTTTGCCGAAAAATTTCTAATATAGTCATTCACCCTTCCCCATGATTCAGACGATATATTTGTATAATCTATTTTGTTTTTCGTCAGATAAACTATAGTTTATATTAGATAGATTAGACAGATACCGAGATGTGATTGGTCCAGAGCTCGTCAAGTGATATCACTTGTTATATTTTCCTGTCCGATTATATTTTACCAGCTGGTGAAATGAATATATTTTAATCAATGCATGTCGCCCTCTTGAGGACTGTATGTCACCAATGACACACATTACACCATTACCGAGGGTCATTTTTGTTTTCCCGATTTTTTTTCCCCCCAATTTTTTAAATATTTTTTTTAAAAGTTTTTGTTTTGTTTGCTCTTCTTTTTCCTTTTTTGATTGTCCCCGAAAAAAAAAAAAAATGAAAAAAATTTCGGGCAAAAAAAAAAATATGAACCCCCTCTCCACCAACCCCCCCCCCCCGAAAAAAATAAATAAAATAAAGGCTATCTTATATAACAGTTATTGAATGGCAGGGGTATATAACATTCATTGGACTTGAAGGGAAATATAACCACTTGGGAAATATAACTCCCTTCAGCAGTCCAAATAATGTTATATTACACCCCCTGCCAGTCAATAACTGTATAATATTTTTTTACTTACTCTTGACAGCATTTGTACCCGTATCCTTTCCCGAGACACGTACAGTCGTAGCAATTTTTGGTTGACCATGTATCCCAGCGTTCATAGCGTGTGCCTTGGTACTTACACATCTTACCTGCCGGAGAAAATGACACAAAAAGCATGCAGCAAAGAAAAATCACCGAGATGGCGTTTGATTTTTCATTTTGTATCATTCTCTTGATTTCCTCAACGTTTAACCTGCCATTTTATTTTTATTTAAATCTAGTTAATTACTTCTTGGTTCTTTTTCATTTTTCCCGTTAATCCCATTTTACCGGCAAATAGTTTTTCTTCACGTTACGTTTTTTCAATAGTATGAATTAATCGACAAGAAATGAAAGATCTGAATAATGAATATGCATGGTGCGCATCCCTTGGTACTTGGGGGGGGGGGGGGGGGGCATGTTCCGAAATAGACAGACATACAGAGAGAGAGAGAGAAAAAAAAGAGACAGAGACAGATAGAAACAGAGAGAGAGAGAGAGAGAGAGAGAGAATGGGGGGGGGGGGCAGAACCTATGCAGTATGACGTCAGCCTAAGTCTCACCGTGCAGACACTGTTACGCACACCGACTGATATACTCACTGTAGTATCTGCATCCATCTCCACGCCCAGCATCAGACGATGTAAAGAAACCGAGTAGTGTTACCATGACGACAAGCATCAATATATGTAACCTGTCCATGATCTAAAATAAATACAAATAATTAAAATCATTACACATTGTTATATTATATAGCAGAATTGATGATTAATACTGTTTCATCAAAAATATGTTTTCAAAAGTCATCACAACATACACATCAAACTTGTCCTAGTGTCCACCTCTATATGAAGGCTACATGTCTATTAAAGTGGCGCTGTATTTTGTCTAGAAAGACCACTTGTTGTGTTTCCATGCACAGGGCGGTCGCTATATACAGGTTTGACTATATATAAACCATGAAACTATGATAAACAAGAGCTAAAGAGCTCTTTAGCAATAATCATCTTCGGTGGTAAGCGCTTTATAAGTAACGTTTTTATTATTATTATTATTATTATCATGCGGAAGAGAAAAAAATATTGTCAATATTGGTCGCTTTGACGATTGGAACACTAGATGGCGCTATTACAAAAATAAAGAATCCAACACAAACTCTTCTATTCTCAAAAAGCTGTGTATTCAGCTGTTTTCCTTATAGATTTCTTTTAAATCCATTGATGGGTAAGAATTATTACTGTATGTAAGTTACTCAATTCTAATTAAATTATTTTTCGGAAAAATACAACAACAAGTTATTTTGAGGATGGTGATCGATTGGACGACATTCTTTCTCTCCCATATCAAAATAAAGACATGTTAGAGGTTGATTGGTGAAGGGGGGGGGGGGTCTCACTGGCCACACTCGTATGAAACAACTAGAATACTAGATCGTCAAATGACAAATAGATCGATACATAATTTTAATGTGGGATAGAGACATGTGACATTTTTTGGGGGGAAAGAGGGAGACAGATAGAGAGAGAGGGGGGACGGAGAGAGAGAGAGAGAGAGAGAGGGAGATGGGGGAGGGGTGGTTGACAAGAACACTGATGAAAATTAAAACGAGCAAGGCGGCAAGGCGTCGACGGAATGAACATATTTCCAGCCTTGACAGTACACAGTATTTGCCTTTAAGAAAAGATGAGGGGGGGGGGGGGGCTTTATACTCTCGTCTTGATGACGCTTCTGGTGTTTAGGATCATTATTGACGTGTTTACATTATATCAATCATCAAATCTAACCAAAATTAATAACGATGTAATTAGCATCATCTCACACCCAGAACATCACCCTTCTTTTCATGACAATATACTTTCAAAAACATAATTTCTATTTATGCTCATAGCAGAGAGATTAAGACAAATTTATTACCGCTAGAGAATATCATGAGTGAGAGACAACACCACGCCAATCTCCATGATTCTTTCTGCGGTTACTTAATCATAGAATACCCCGCCTCTGTGGCTAGCACTACAGGGTATGTCAACAAAAAGATCACCCCTTGATATAATTGCGATGTGTGTCTGCATGAAAGTATCTCTATATTAAGAATAGTATACCCTGGCAACTATATATCCGGATAGTTATCATTTATGAAAACTGCACTCTAGGATAACTATCATCGGAAAACAAAACCCTCTTCAAAATACCAATGGCTCCCAATTTTGTTAGGAGGAATTCAATACGCACAAATAATTTGTCATTGATTATATATAAGTTGTTTATACCGTGGAGACTGATGTATCAAACTAAGATTTGCCCAAAACAGATTTTTTTTTTTTTTTTTTTAAAGGCCATGATAATAATTATTTCCTATATTAATTGCAAAATGAGTTTCAGTATTTCATACAACAATCTCAATTTTTCATTCTGAATATTCAATAATCACCATAGAACTTTGAATTAATCAGTAAATGATACAAGAAAAGTAAATACAACATGTTAGTTACTATTCAATCATTATGATGCCTTCATCCTCATTTCCCACAAATTGTTTTATCTTTTTTTTCTTTGTACGCCCTGTACACAGGCAACGTCTCAATGGACGCATTTATCACTTTAGCTATTAATATTTCAGCCCCTGCCTACGGTAATTTTTATTTCCATCATAAGGCTTTAAAGTAGAACGAAAATGATTGCATAAACATCACCTTCTTCATTTCAAGATCAGAGAAATACACTCCCTTGATAGGAGGGTGATATTGAGTTGGTCTCTTTGAAATTAATTATTCAAAAATTGGCCGGGACTCAAATTTCGATTATTTCTTGGCCATATATCATCCAGAGGTGGGGAATCCGAACCCTTCTTTCGGTTTCTATCTCTCTTTTCTTTCTTAATGATTATCTATACCCCCTCCTTTTTTTTTCTCTCTCTCTCTCTCTCTCTCTCCCTCTCTCTCTCTCTTTTTATCTCTCTCTTTCTTTCTCTCTCTCCTTCTTTCTCTCTCTCCTTCTTTCTCTCTCTCTCTCTCCCCCTCTCTCTCTATCTCTCTTTCTTTCTCTCTCTCTCTCTTTCTCTCTCTCTCCTCATTTTATTCGGTTTCCCTCGTTCTCTAACTTATCCTGCCCGTTATCTTTGTCCCTTTAACTTTCAGTCAATTCTCCATTCTCTCTCTCTCTCTCTCTCTCTCTCTCTGTATCATTCTCTCCCTCTATATCTATATAGTTATCTCTTTATCTCTCTCTCTCTCTCTCTCTCACACACACTCATTCACTCGCTCTTTAGAACACTGCATCGCTCTCCCCATCTCTTAATCTTTAATTCTCTCATTAATTTCTTTCTCTCATTCTTTTCATTTTGTTTAAATCTGCTCTTTTCTCGTTCCTTTACACCCGCCCCCTCCTTTTTCTTTAATTATCTCTTTAATTTCTTTCTCTCATTCTTTTCATTTTTTTTAAAATCTGCTCTTTTCTTGTTCCTTTTACACCCGCCCCCTCATTTTCTTTAATTATCTCTTTAATTTCTTTCTCTCCTTCTTTTCATTTGTGTGTTAATCTGTTTTTTCTCTTTCCTTCAGATCCGCCCCCTTATTTTCTTTAATTCCCTTAGCTAACTCCTTCCATTAGATCCTCGGATTAATATAGAGATCTGTCAGATAGTGAGGTCGAAGAAATTTGACAAGTGAAATTATAGACCACCCCCTCCACCCCCCCCCCCCCCCCCTTCCCCCGGAACTCAAGATCTACCCTCTCAATAGGACTGTGAGTGTCAATTTATCATTACTTCATGCATGCGTAACCATTCACTCTTTTCGCTTGACTGAAATTACCGCCGATTTCCCCACCTGCTTTCATACGTGCGCGCGATCAATGGCGTATCTATACACGGGCACTCTCTTACTAATCGAGTCGTGAATAGGCAAAACAAAAAGGAAGGAAAAGCAAAGAAAAGAGAGAAAATAGGACAATAACGACGAGAAAGAAGACGCATGGGTTTCTCCCTACACACCGCCTAGCTTATCAGTGCCAATGATACCCTTTTTAAAATTTGTATTTCCCCGAGTATGACAGGTTTGATTTGATTTGATTTGATTTATTGATTTCTATATCATATTTCAAATATACATAGTTTAAACATACATAATGTCGACCAGTGTGATATAATGTACGTTTCAAAGTACAATACATGATACTCGTACTGTATAGAACATAGACAATACCTAGGAGAACATTACTCACTTTTACAATTAACATTATATTCGAGGGACACAGCGTATTAGCATGAAGCTTGAAATGCTTGCAGCCCTCGATTAAACTATCATTAATTAAACTAAACTAAACTAATCTAAACTAAACTAACAGCCTATGAAACATAATGAAGAGCGAGAGTGACTTGCAATAGAGAGAAAGAGGGAAGATTATACCCCTCCCACCCCCCCCCCCCCATGGGTGGACTCACGCTCACGCTACACACACCACTGCTCAAAATCAAACCCGATATAGTAACACCATATGAAATCACACAGATGGAATTTCAATTTAGCTTGGATTTCCTTTAATACTTATTTTTTTAAAACTTTATTCCGGTGTTGACGGTCAGTAATTAATAAATACCGAAATAACCTCGACCTCAAAAATGGTGTAGACACATTTTGTTCACATAATCTATCTTAATTTATTTCTACGAATTACAAAAAGAAATTTGTATGTTTTATAATTATTGTCTAGCCATACCTCATCTTCAATATTTTAATATTATTATGCTTGGAAAAAGTAATAAATTGAACTTGAACAGAACTGGATTATGAAGTTAATGCCTTTTGAAACGATGTCGACTGCAAATGTCCAAGAAATGTATTCTATTTAAGTAATTAGATAGTTCTGATAATAGAATTGTCATTATTTTTACTATTATTCTTATTATTTCTATTATTATTGTTGTTGTTGTTAAGATTAACATAGTCATCAACGTCTACATTACAATACTCATTTCGCGTTTTTACATTCTCATAATGAGGAGATAAAAGATCTTCACATCTTTACCAAAATCTTCACCAATATGGAATTTTTAATAAAATCTATTACAACTAACAACATCAATAGCATTTTGAAATATCAAATTATACTCTGTGAGTGCTCTGTGTCTAATTTGTTATTGAATTGTTGCCAAATTAACGAAATTGGCAGGGTGTCCTATTTGTGCAGTGGAGTGTTTTGTGTTTTTTGTCCTATTGGGACGTAATTATGACGTCACGGATGAACGAACAGAGGTCTTTAATTACATCCTGCCCTTCAGAACCAATTAATACGTCAGAGTATATTACAAACAATGATGATGATTACAGAGATAGAGGTAATTAGTCATTTTGTTGCCATCAGTGTCTCTTTGTTTCTGCGAAAATGGATTCTTTTATTAAAAACAAAAAACGATACCAAAAACGTTACTCTAATTTCTCTAATGGCCTGTCTTTCTCTACTATGCCTCCCCCCTCTACTATACCCATCTATACCCCCCCTTTATGTCTCTCCCTGTCTCTCTTCGTCTCTCTTTCTCTACTATACCCCCTCTACTATACCCATCTATACCCCCCTTTCTGTCTCTCCCTGTCTCTCTTCGTCTCTCTTTCTCTCTCTCTCTTTCTCTCTCTCTCTCTCTTTCTCTCTGTCTCTCGATCTCTATCTCTGTCTCTCTCTCTCTTTTTCTCTCTCTCTTTGTCTCTCTCTGTGTCTCTCCATCTCTATCTCTGTCTCTGTCTCTGTCTCTCTCTCTCTCTGTCTCTCTTTCTCTCTCTCTCTCTGTCTCTCGATCTCTATCTCTGTCTCTCTCTCTCTTTCTCTCCCATTGCAAATCCGATAAAATGAGATAATATTAATTGGTAGATCACGGCTTCATAAATTCATAAACGTCCACTATTATTATTGTTATAATTACACTATGTGGCCATGCATGATTACGTAATCGACCCAGCAATGTGTGATTATCATTGTGATAATATAAATGCAGCGTGAAATGAAAATGCCGCCGGTGATATTTGCCCGCTATCTCAAGGGAATGGCGTGTTATACACTGTAACCGCCGAATTCACCATTGCTTAATTAGCATTCCATTAAAAACAAAATAATCACACCAATTTCGTAGGTTCTTTTGAGACATAGTTTGTTCTTTATTTAAAAAAATAAAATGTAAACTTAAGCAAGAATATTATTTTCCTCGTTATAGGGCATCGTGAGGTTATGATATTTTTGGGGTTTGCTTTTTTTCTCCAAATCCGGGATTGTGAGAAAATGAAAGTGAAAATCCGTTGAATATTAATTTCCTTTGTTTTGGCATAATGGGATTTTGAAGGGGGAATAAGGGTTAGCTTATGCGTTTCGAAACGTTACAATAATAAATATTAGGAATATTTATATACTCTACTATTCCATTACCAGAAACCATTCAAAAGCTATTTGTTAAAGTTAGGCAAGCTGAAAGTATCTTCTTTTGAAAGTGAAATTCCGTTAAATATGAATTTCCTGTGTTTTGGCATAACGGGATTTTGAAGGGGGAATAAGGGTTAGCTTTATATGCGTTACGAAACATTGTAATAATAAATATTAGGAATATTCATATACTCTACATTTCCATTATCAAGAAACTGTTCAAAAGCTATTTGTCAAAGTTACACAAGCTGAATCTTCTTCTTTTTTTCTCTTTTTTTAAAATATTTCCAGGCAAGATGATAACAATACATAGAAAACATCATAACGCATTATAATGATATTTAGAACCGGCCAATGCCTGGGGATCACCAAAACGAATTTAAAAATTCTGTCCAGAGGCTCCCCACATTGGCTATTGCATACATAAAACAAACATAAAGAATTGAAAGATGGCTTACCACTTGAAAGGAATTGTGATGAACCCCCGTCTACCGCTGAAGTAAACTTAGCGAAGGACGGACGAATGATCGCGTCGTCTTCTCCGAAAAAACTGTTCCGCTCTACTCTAAAAACTGAATCCGAGGAGGAAGACCTATCCTGTTAATTGAACTGAACCACTGCTCTTTCACACAACTCGAATCGACAAAAGAAAAAGGTCGAAGTCGTGCAATAGTCTTCAAAAGAATTACGGGTTTATTAGCCAAGTGTCTGAAATTAACCGATCTCCTTCAATTTCTACCGCGCTCTGTCTTCGAACTAGTTCTGGGGTTTGTTAGCTGAGCGTCTAAAATGACCGATATCATCAAGCTATCGATAAGAGTGAGGGGCGGGCGGTTCTATGATTGTGAAGAATAATCAGACGACGCAGTTTAAAGGCCCACTGCACTACTTGTCGCTACTTGCGCCCTCACGTTATTAAACAATGCCTAATCGGTGACCATTGGTCCCCCATGATCCCCTTTTATTAAAATGTCAACTGAGAGCTGAGTTGATGAGATAACCACCTGTCCAGTGACCTCGCGGGGCGATCTAATCTCTCTTGTAAACTAGTACTGATAAGCTTTAAGGCAAATCATTCAGTGGCGGGGGAAGCGGGGTGGGGATGGGGGGGGGGGGGGGGGGGGGGGGGGGGTCGGGGGGGGGGGGGGTCGGTGTTCTTGTTTTGATATTCTCCATGTGCCTCGCCTAAACTCAGATGCGGATCTAGAAAATTATTTGGGGAGGGGGCTGGGTGGGGATTGGGGTACTTACATTCATTTTTCTACTTGTGCCTCGTTTATTTTCATTTATCATCAAGACAATTTGGTGAGTGGGGTGGAAGCAATTTTGTCTCGTGCGTAGGCGGGAGGGGGGGGGGTGAGCACCTAAGTCTTCCTCTAGAACCACCACTGAGATTACCAGAAGAAACGAATTATAATCATGTGAATGATAGATAGTGGTGATCCAAGGCTTTGGACCGAAGTAATTAATATTTGGTGATACCTTCGTTCACGTACGAACTTCAATGGAGTATTCCCCCTCCCCCACCCACCCCGGGCACATCTGTGATTTTTGTTTTGTCAGATTTATTTCAGAGCATGTCATAGTTGATAGAAGGAGAAAGAGGAAAAGAGAAAGAGAGAGAGAGAGAGAGAGAGAGAGCGCGCGCGCGCGTAAAATGATAATTTCAATACATTGTCATCAAATTCCCATAACATCAGGACATTATCATATCAACACACTTTCTTTTTTCATCTCCTGATTTGCACTAAATTGCTTTTCTGACAAAATAATCAACGCAATCATCAATCTTTCTGCCGCGCTGGTGACTACTCACGCCCATTATACATGGTGCGTGGTCGGAATGCTGCTACCAGCACTGAGTAATGGCGGTGAGATGGCCGTGACATTAAACTTCGGAAATGAAGCAAAATAGCCGAAAGAAACGATTTCATCCCATGCATCCTCTGCCCATTAAAGACAATCATTTGAGAGAGAGAGGGAGAGAAGAGAGAGAGAGAGAGAGAGAGAGAGAGAGAGAGTGTGTGGCGTAAGAGAAGTGAGGACACCCTTCACTCTCACAACACTAGACTCAAGCTGGGGTAATTATTTCCGATAGGCCTATCTATATAAAGCCAGCGTAAAATGCCCCCAGACTTTAAGCCTTTAAAAGCGCGTGAAGATCTACCATTAAGTGGCATGGGCTATGTACCCCTGGCAAAAAAGAAGAGGAAGATGGTAACCACAATTTTACCTTTTGAGTAAACAGAATAGTGATCGTCCCCCCCCCCCCCCACCCCGTTGAGCAAAAAAGAAAAAGAAACAAAATAGTCCTCATAACTCGGCCCCCCTTCCCCGCTTATCAACGCTAAACAGTTTCTTACGAATTCAGAACCCACCCTTGCCGCCGGTTGGATCGTCCCCTGAGCGGACTATCTTTGTTACTTTCCTATCAAACGGCACCAACAATGCTCATAAAGAATGAAATTACATTTGGATAAACTGTATTAAATTGACTGCTCTAATTAACAAAAAATGTGCTTTCATCTCAAAACAATTGTTAAGCACCACAGGTGTTATAGCCAACTCAGTTTTGATGAATTTCGTCAATCTATATTGCTAATACCAGCACGTACTATAGCGAATAAATTGTCCCAGAGTCGTCACTAAATAACGCCTGGGTGGAGAGTAGCAAGTGCAGGTTAATATCTTGCTACATGATATTATAGTGCCGTGTCGGGATTCGAACCCTCGACCTTCGCATCTCTAGTCAAGCGCCTTAAACCACTCGGCCACGACACCCCTAAAGGTGTATGTGGAGATGTGATCCCTGCCTCACCTAAAGATAAGATTTAGTTTGGGCGGGGATGTGATTTGTGATTATCCGTCTAATGATTTGAAAATCTACAACAAGTATTTTTTCCTTTGTGGGCGAATTTGAACATTCTCTGCTATACCTGTTCGGAATATTGGTCACACCCCTGGAGCCCCCCCCCCCCCCTTTAAAGGGAGTGTATCATGGGAAATACTGGTTAACGCCATCTACGTTTTCTTTTGGACAACTACACGTTAACGAATGGACTTCATTAACTGGGTCAGCGAGCTAGCGTTCGCGAAACAGATCGCGCTTCGGTTTCGCGTATGTTGCATGCACGTGAATGCTGCGGTCGCGTCGTCCTTAGTCGATTAGCCCCGAGTTGGCCCACGGGTAAGACACATACAGTCTCGTTATGACACACTCCCTTTAAGGTTTGTCCATCGACAGTCCCAAATGACGCACATCTTACGACAGCTCTGTCTCACACCTCCGTCTGCTATTAATAGGGAAAATGTGTTTCTGCACATGCTTGCCCTCCGATAAGACGCAGTTATTTTCACGGTCACTGATAAATAACAAAACATAATACAAAATACACTTTTCCTGATTCTCAAGTCGACCATCTTGATGGAAATATCTGGAGTCTATGGGGTCAACCCGGTGACCGAAGTAACACATATCATCAAGTAGGGATATTTTGAGAATCTGAATTCGTTTATCAAAATTAGAAGTATGGGGAAGTCGATGATGCAAAACATAAAGAGAAAAATGACAAAATTAGACGTGTGAGATATCGAGAAGGGTGAGATTAAAGTGATTGCCATGTCTGTCTACCCAGTTAATATTAATATCCTTTCATTCCTTTCACCTCTCTTTCTCTCTTTCTCCCTCTCTCTCTCTCTCTCTCTCTCTCTATGTTCCTTTCTCATACATACACATACTCACACCCACTCACAAAAACACTCACTCTCCTTTTCTCTCTGTTAAAGATGTTTGTATTTCTCAAGTTTCTTAATTTCGAAAATGAAAAGTTTCATAAAAGGTAAGGTGAAAATGAAATAGAACCCTATTTCCTTTACAGAATGACATGATAAAATTATACCTTCCGAGTCGCGAAGCTTTGGGGTACCGAGTGTTCTCCCGCCTCCCCCTCCCCCTCCATACCTCTTTTTTACGATGAGTTAAAAGTTTTAATTATCTTACGCGAGAGTATCGTTGAATAAGGCCTTTAAACAAATGTTGTATTGCCCTTTATGTGTGCCAAAACATGGGTCGGTCGGTCGGAAATCTTTTTTTTTTTCCCCCAACTTTGTTGTTGTTGTGAACTCCCTCTTTGGGCTAATATTTCTCAGTTTTGAATGCTTTAATACATTTTTTTTTCTTCTAAAAAACCGATATTTTGTATTTTTTGGGTTAAAGCAGACCGTGGATTTAAAGATTTTTGGTCGGTTGCAAAGGGAAATATACCACTTAAAGGTAAAGACCAGTTATGGCCATGCGATTGCATGGTGAAAGAAACGTTGTGGAATCGATCAGAAAAGGTTGATCATCTAGCATCTAGCACTTGCAAGGTTCTGGAATCATCAAAATGATAAGAAATTCGGCCCATTCTTCATAAAGTTACAAGCACTATACACAGAAAGATGTATATGGGACTACCCTATATCTCTCACAGACCATGAGAGAAACAAATTTACCAAATATATGAATTAGTAGGCGGTTTCCCGGCAAATTTGTTATCATCATGTATTAGTCAAAACATATTCTTTCACATGATTGGTAATGAGAGCTTCCATTTCATTTTTTGAAATTGGGGCGTTTCCAATACTGGCCTTTACCTTTAAAAAAAAAAAAAAAACCTAACATCTTTTTAAAATGAATGTCACTGTGGTGTCTGTATCTGTTTTCCACGATTCGTCCCCACCCCCGGGCTTGCTTTCTACCAACAAGATGACGTCACAATCGCTTCGTCACAAATTAGTGCGCAAGGTCAGTTGCATGCCTTGTCAACGATGCACTGTATTGAGAGTCATGTATATGATAACAATAGTTATTGAATAAATGATGATAAAAACACTCTGTAAATGTTAAAATTAACCCAAATGTTGGGTACATTCTTTCCGAAAAATATGTAAAATGATAATAGTGATATTGATGATAGTACTAGTATGATGGTAGTAGTAACAGTAGTAGTAGTAGTAGTAGTAGTAGTAAAATGAGTAGTAGTAGTAGTAGTAGTAGGAGTATTAGTAGTAGTATTGGTGTAGTAGTAGTAGTAGTAGTAACAGTAGTAGTAGTGTTAGTAGTAGTATTAGTAGTAGTAGTAGTAGTAGTAATAGTAGAAGTAGTAGTATAGTAGTAGTAGTAGTAGTAGTAGTAGAATTAGAAGTAGGAGTAGTAGTAGTAGGATTAGTAGTAGTAGTAGTAGTAGTAGCAGTAATAGTAGCAGTAGAAGTAGTAGTAGTAGTAGTAGTAGTAGTAGCAGTAGTAGTAATAGTAGCAGTAGAATTAGTAGTAGGAGTAATAATAGAAGTAGCAGGAGTAGTAGTAGGAATAGTAGTAGTAGAAGTAGTAGGAATAGTAGTAGTAGTAGTAGTAGTAGTAGTAGTAGTAGTAGTAGTAGTAGTAGTAATAGAAGAATAGGTAGTAGTTGAGATAATAGCATCGTTGTTTCCCTAAAAGATATTTTCAGGAAATAATAGCATGCTCAAAACCCTTAGTTAAAGAAAAATAATTACATGCATACAATAACTTTCGTAGTTACAATTAAGCATTCCTCT